TTCTTCTGTATCTCTCTCTCTCTCTCTCTCTCTCTCTCTCTATCTCACACACACACATGCACACACACAGAGACACACACACACACACACAAACACACACACTGTTCATGGGTCTGAGAATAAAATGCCAAATTCTCACCACGATGTTCATATCCTGTTTGGTCCAAGCCTGGACCCCTCTCCCCACCCTCACCTTGTACCGCTCTCACCCTTTGCTGTCTCCTCACCGGCCACAGGGCCCACCTACCATGCTGCTTCCTCCCCAGCATGCACATGCTCTTTCCTCTGCCTGTGATGTTCTGCCCACTCCATCCTTTACTCACTCTTGCTCATTATTCTGTCTCTCAGCAGAAGCATTATTTCAGAAAAGCCTTCCCTATCTCAGTTAGGTCTATCTGTGACCTCCTAGAACCACCGCACTGGCCTTCAGTTCATTCAGCTCAGTTGCAATTTTACATATATCCAGGCAGGTATTTCATAGAAATATTTTTTCCCTAATTAGGCAGTCAGCTCCAAGAATATGGTTTTTGGCCACCATTGGTTGTTTTCGTTGCTGGGTCTGTGCATGGAACAAAAGAGTTGGTTTAAAAAATACTCCCTTAATGAATGAACAGCACTTGCCTTCCTTTCTTCAGCCTAAATCCCCATGCCTCCAGAACATTGGGTTGATGTCCTAGCCCTGTATCACTCTGGCCCTAATGTGCAATGCCCAGCCTCTGCCCTCGAATTCCTCTCACCTGGAATTTCCACTTGGCTTCCTTGTGTCCTCCGAAATCCAGCCTTTGGAGTTCAGCTCCAGTGTCCCCTATGCAGAGCTTCTGAAAACCATGTTGGTAAAGGGGGTGAGAAGGGATAAATTGGGAGTTGGAAATTTACCCTTTTCAGGGAGTGATGGAAATGTTATGTGGTGACGGTTTCCTCGGTGTATCTGTCTATCAAAATTCATCAAATTGTACACTGAAATATGTGCAGTTTTCTCTACAGAAATTATACCACAATAAAGTTATTTTAAAAAATAATTTATAAAAACCACATTGGTCTTCATAGCTTTAGCATCCTTCTCTGTGCAAGTTTCGATCTCAGCACCTCATTTCAAAATTCCTTATTTAATGAACAGAGGCTATGAATCCAAGATAACTACTGTGGCATAGTCTACATTGTTCCTTTTATTTCTGATTTATTAATATGAATTGACATTTTTAAAGCATATTGTATTACACAGGCACAAAACTTGGCCAACCCAAGTGCTGGTTACATTTAAAGTTGAAAGGAATTTAAAAATTTCAGCTTTATAGAAGGGAATTAAATGATTGGAACTTTAATAAATTCTGGTGTTTAGTGAATTACTCCTTCTTTTGCAGTGTTGAGAATTAATGTGTGGAGATTAAAATTAATTAATGTGATTGAGAAAGATGTATTAAAAAACTTGTTTGCCTTGGCCAAACAAGAAGGCATTTTTACAGCAGATACATGAAAAATTATACATTAGGGCTATACATAATATTCTCTTGAATAATTGGAGTTTATTCCTCCCACACCTGGTAAAAATTATATTTTGGTATTCCAGACCCTACACCATTATCTTTCTATCCATTTAAATTTTGTTCTCATAAGATTGTAAAGTATAGACTCTGTGTGTGTGTGTGTTTTTCACCTGACCAGGGAACTGTCTGCTTTCTTTCACTGTAATTTGCCTGCCTCTTATTTATAAGTCCTTTTTTTCTGGATGGTGGGGAGGGTGGTTGGGGGAGGTAGTTCAGTTTATTTACTTACTTACTCTTAGAGGATTTACTGGGGATTGAACCCAGGACCTCATGCATGCTAAGCATGTGCTCTACCACTTGAGCTACATCCTCCCCCATTATAAGTCCTTTTGAAAGGAAGAAGATGGATCTTTATCTGTGTCAGAGGGATTGACAGCAGATGAGCATCGTTACCTCTTGCAGAGACATGCACGGAGGATTCATGTCACTTGACTCTGAATGTGAAATAAGATGCAGTTTTACTTTTTCTGTTTCAGTTATCTCAGGGATCTCCAGAACCAATTGAGCCCAGCTTGTTCACAGCAGATTACCATTTATTGCATCATTCATCAAGGGAAAATATCCTTTCCCCAGATAACTCAACAAGTAATGGTCTTCAACACAGGAATCTGGCTTTCATGAAGAAACTGACTGGTATTTTTCTATCTCTTTCTTGTTTACTTCACTTAGAATGACATTCTCTAGGGACATCCATGTTGTTGCAAGTGGCATTATGTTGTCATTTTTTATGGCTGAATAGTATTCTATTGTATATAACACAGGGAAATATATTCAAGATCTTGTAGTAGCTTATGGTGAAAAACAATGTGAAAATGAATGTATGTATATTCATTTATGATTGAAGAATTGTACTGTACACCAGAAACCGACACAACATTGAAAACTGACTAGAAGTTAATTACAAAAAGAAAAAAGAAACAGATTGTTTGGATCAACAGCTATCCTCAAAAGATTATCTCCAATTTAAAATGAAAATAGTTCTTGTATTTATTATCTATGATATTAGTTGAGATGGACGTGCAGTATGAATCTGGCAATTCCCTGAGATTTACTTTACCC